TGAGCACACGGTGAGGGGTCAGTGACTACACAGTGAGGGGTCAGTGAGCACACGGTGAGGGGTCAGTGAGCACACGGTGAGGGGTCAGTGAGCACACAGTGAGGGGTCAGTGAGCACACAGTGAGGGTCAGTGACTACACAGTGAGGGGTCAGTGAGCACACGGTGAGGGGTCAGTGAGCACACGGTGAGGGGTCAGTGACTACACAGTGAGGGGTCAGTGAGCACACGGTGAGGGGTCAGTGAGTACACGGTGAGGGGCCAGTGAGGGGTCAGTGGGGAATCAGCTGCAAATGAAGCCCTGTCTTCAGCTGCCTGGGCCCTGAGTGTTGGAAATTCCTTCTTAAATCCTTCTATCTCTCTCTTCTTTGTGACAACACTTCATAAAGCTGACCTTCTGATCAAACTTTTAGATATTTAATCAATATCTTCTTATGTAATTCAGCATCAAATTTAGTTTAGAAACACTCCTGTGAAGCACCTTGGGATGTTATGTCAGAGGTGCCGCATAAATGTGAGTTGTTGTTGTGTTAAGACAGGAGTTTTGAAAGGGACAAACTCAGTTTCCAAGAGTCAGAACCATCAATAACATCAAATAACATGGGATCGGGATCACAGGGATCTCTGTGATGTACAACGTTCCTCAGATAGCTGCTTCCACTGGATCCTGGGATCCACACTCCATGCACAGTTTCCTGTACTCTCTCCATCAGCATAACCTCACTCTGGCTCAGAGCTGCCCCAGTCTCCAGTTCCATTTCATTCTTTGTATCGTTTGTCATTTTAACGAGATACATTTTCTCTCTCTTTCAGGTGTTAAGGAATGCAAGCTTCAAATACTCTCAAACTGATGCCCCTTCTGGATTCGCTTTCCCCCCACCTCCCTCTGACTCCATCCCTCCATCTAATCCCACTTCCTGCCATATATTCATCATACCCTCTGACCTACCCCCTCTCTGTTATGAACAATCTGTGCTCAGAAAAGGACTTAATTTTATCCTTTCATGTCCCAGCTCAATCAATTCTGGGCAGGATAAGACATTGAACTCTTCCTCTATCACGTTTGCCTTCATGTGGACTTCCCTAGTCAGAAATATGTACCCCCACCAGCACCCCCTCCCCACCTCCACACAGGAGTGCTCCCCCATCTCCAACACTCGTTCTCTACCTGGACCCCTCCCCCTTTCCCTGCCCTTAATCTCATCATTGAGAACTGCTGATGTGACATGAGCCACCCTCATTTCTCCGGAACCCTCCCCAACTCTAACCGGCTTCTCTCTCAACTTGCTGTACTCCATTCCCTCTGGTCTAGTCCTATTTTCAAACCTGCCACTAACTGGGGTACTGCTGTCTGGCATGTTAACCTCTACCTGGCACAGTCATTGAGTCATAGAGATATACAGCACAAAAACAGACCCTTCAGCCCAACTCATCCATGCTGACCAGATACTCTACATTAATCTAGACCATTTGCCAGTATTTGGCCCATATCCCTGCAAACCCTTCCTATTCATATACCCATCCAGATGCCTTTTAAATGTTGTAATTGTACCAGCCTCCACCACTTCCTCTGGCAGCTCATTCCATACATGCACCACCCTCTGAGTGAAAAAGTTACACCTTAAGTCCCTTCTATACCTTTCATCTCTCACCTTAAACCATGCCCTCTAGTTTTGGACTTCCCAACCCTTGGGAAAAGGCCTTATCTATACCCTTCAAGATTTTACAAACATCTGTAAGGTCACCCCTCAGCCTCTGGTGCTCCAGGGAAAATAGCCCCAGCCTATTCAGCCTCACCCTGCAGTTCAAACCCTCCAACCCCAGCAACATCCTTGTAAATCTTTTCTGAACCCTTGCAAGTTTCACAACATCTTTCCTATAGCAGGGAGACCAGAATTGCACACAGTATTCCAAAAGTAACCTAACCAATGTCCTGTACAGCTGCAACATGCCCTCCTGACTCCTATACTCAATGCACTGACCCATAAAAGGGAAGTGTACCAAACGCCTTATTCATTACCCTGTCTACCCATGACTCTACTTTCAAGGAACTACGAACCTACACTCCAAGGTTTCTTTGTTTGGCAACACTCCCCAGGACCCTACCATTGGGCTGACCACCAACTCTCAGATACTTCCTCCTATCTCTCACTGGACCCTGACCCCACCACCGAACATCAGGCTGTTCCAGACTGACACTGATCTCCTTTCCTCTAGAGATCTCTCTTCTACAGCTTTCCACTTCATTGCCTCCCCAACCCCACACCCCTTGCACACCCATTGTTTCAGTCTGTTCCTATCCCATTTTTTCCTTGACAAGAAGCCTGAACCATCCCCATCCACCAACACCCTCCTCCGCCTGGCCGAGCTTGTCCTCAGCCTGAACAATTCCTCCTTTAACTCCGCTCACTTTCTTCAGGTCAAATGCATGGCCATGGGTATCTGCATGGGCCCCAGTTATGCCTGTCTGTTTGTGGGGTACATGGAACATTTCTTGTTCCAATCCTACTCAGGTCCCTCTCCAGAACACCTGATCTCACTGGAAAAATTCAACATTCAAAAAATTCAAAATTGAAATTCACTTTCAATTTCCAGCCTTCTCTCACCTTTATCTGGTTCATCTCTGATTCTTCCCTTTCTTTCTGTGACTTCATCATTCCCATTTCTGGGGATGGGCTGGCCACCAACACCCACTACAACCCAACATGTCCCACAATTGTCTCCTCACACCCTGCTTCCTGGAAGATTCCATTCCATTCTCCCAGGGTCTCAATCTCTATCACATCTGTTCTGACGAAGCCACCTTGCACCGTACTGTGGCTGTTACATCCCTTAGCCGCACCCGACTTATCTCCAGTGCCTGACTCAACTCTTCCCCTCCTCCCTAGAACAACAGTAGCGTTCCCTTTGTCCTCTTTCTCCATCCCACCAGTCTGTGTATTCAAAGCTTCATCCTCTGCCATTACTACCACCTCCAGGATGATGCTGCCAGACCTGCTGAGTTTCTCCAGCACTTTTTGCTTTCATCTCAGAGTTTGATAAAATAGAGTCGAGGGAGGGAAGGCAGACTGCAAGGACAGGTTGAACTTGAAACTGAAACAGAATTTGCTGGTGAAACTCAGCGGGTTCACTGTGGGTAGAAAGCAGAGTTAAGATTTTCAAGTCCGGTAACTCTTCATCAGAACTGGATTTGGAGTAGCCTTGTGGGGAAATGGAAGAGAAAACAGTGAGGGGTAAGTTCAGGTCTGGGGCTGAGGAGATGCTTGAGGATGATAGGCTTTGGGAGCTATTGGAAGCAAGAGAAGTAGCAAAGCCTGATGGTATAAACTTTGGTGACCAACAGCTGTAAGAGGGTCCTGCAGTTGTTGAAGGAGGTGAATGAGGAGGACACAGAAAAGGAATTTCAACAGTTGGTTTGTAGTAAAGAAGAGAATCTGGGGTTAGATTTACTTTCCAGGATGTTCTTGGTACAGTGAATAGTTTGAGCTGATGACAGCAGCACTCGATAGTGTTTAAGTGGATGAACCAGATATGGCAGTGGATGGTCAATCTGTTGATTGAGGGTTTTTTAAAATTCATTCATGGGATGTGGGTGTCACTGGCTGGGCCGGTATGTACTACCTATTCTTAGTCACCCTTGAGAAAGTGATGGTGAACTGTAGTCCCTGTATTGTGGGTTGTCCCACAATGCCCTTAGGGAGGGAATTCCAGGATTTTGACCCAGCGACAGTGAAGGAACGGTGATACATTTCCAACTCAGGATGGTGACTGACTTGGAGGGAACTTGCAGGGAGTGATGTTCCCATGTATCTGCTGCCCTTGTCCTTCTAGATGGAAGTGGTCGTGGGTTTGGAAGGTGCTGCCTGAGGAGCTTTGGTGAATTTCTGCAGTGCAACTTGTAGATAGTACACACTGCTGCTACTGAGCGTCGGTGGAGGAGGGAGTGGGATGTTTGTGGATGTGGTGCCAATCAAGCGGCTGCTTTGTCCTGGATGGTGTCAAGCTTCTTGAGTGTTGTTGGGGCTGCCCCCATCCAGGCAAGTGGGGAGTATTCCATCACACTCCTGACTTGTGCCTTGTAGATGGTGGACTCAATAATGTTTATTATACATTTACCAATTATATACTTGACCTTGTTTAAAACGTGACTACTTTATATTCTGTTTCTCACCTTATGATAACGAGGTCTATAGATGACATGCACTCATGGGAATTGTTGTACAATTTTAATTATGTCAACAGTTCTCTCACAAACATGAGCATTGTATTCTAGTGATGCATTCCCACTTTACCTGTTGTTGCAGCTCCGGTGACGTTGAGATTGTGGAGGGAAAGTCCCAGGGAATGGCGGGAGGAGGAAGTGGAAGATGGGGTTGATGACTGGGATTGCATCTGTCCTGCTCCACCGCTACTTCCCGTCTCTGATTTTAGACGATCATTTTCTGCTTTCAGAAGTTCAATCTCGTTCTGCAATTGAGCAGAAACGGTATTTGGATGAACCATCAGCCGAGAAAGTATCTGTGTCACACACCCTGTTAAACTCTCAGAGCTTCTGCTACATTTCCATAAGACCATAAGATGTAGGAGCAGGCCATTCAGCCCATCAAGTCTGCTCTGCCATTGAATGAAATCATGGCTGATCCGATAATCCTTACTCCACTTTCCTCCTAATCCCTATAACCCTTGATTCCCCTTATTGTTTTGAAATCTGTCTATCTCAGCCATGAATATACTTAATGACCCAACCACAACATTGCTCTGCCATAGAGAATTCCACAGATTTACAAGAATCTGAGAGAAGAGACTTTTCCTCATCTCTGTCCCTTACTCTGAGATTATGCCCTTTGATCCTAAACTTTCCCACAAAGGGAAACAATTTCTCCACATTCATCCTGTCAAGTCCCCTTAGGAATCTTGTATGTTTCATGACCTCTCATTCTCTAAACTCCACTCAGTACGGGCCCAATCTACTCAACCTCTCGATATAAGACAGTCCCTTCACACCTGGGTTCAGCCAAGTGAACCTTCTCTGCATTGCCTATATCTTTTGTCAGATAAGGGGGTCAAGCTGTTCGCAGTATTCCAGCTGTGGTTGGACTAGTGCCTCATATAGTTTTAGGAAAGCCTCCCCATTTTTATACTCCATTCCCTTGGAAATAAAGGCCAACATTCCATTTGCCTTCCGTATTACCTCCTGATCGTGGGTGCTAGTCCTGTATGATTCATGGACAAAGACTCCCAAATCCCTCTGTGGTGTAGCTTTCTGCAGTCATTCCCTGTTTAAATCATATTCAGCTCTTCTCTTCTTCCTGTCCAATTTCTCTTTGGTTTAGACACACAGCTATGTAACCTGTTTTAATACTTGCAGCTCCCAAACTGGGGCCTTCAAACAAACTGACTCGGTCTTGCTTTGAAATATTGAAATAATTTTTTTTGCAATCAATAAACCCATCACGGGAATAAAATCTTTTCGAATTAATAACAGTCAGTGGTTAAGGAACTTGGACATGTTACAGACTGTGTACTGTGCCATGCACATTGGACAGAGAGAACATGAGAGGGACAGTTATATTGATCAGCCTTGGCTCAGTGCACAGCACTTCATCTCTCAGCCAGGAGACTGTGAATTCAAGTCCCATTTGAGATACTTCATCAAGAAGGCTGACCCCTCCAATGAGGGAGCGCTGCCCTGTCAGAGATACTAACTTTGAGATGAGGCATTGAAGTGAGCTCTCTCCATCAGTACAGGTGAGGGAGAAAGATCCTGAAATAACTCCACCCAGGCTGGTATCCTGTCACCAACTCACCCTTTATTTACAGGTGCTTAGTACATACACTGACCCAGCTAGCTCCCACAGAACTGAACCCCTGACACTCCTGTCTATATCTGTCAGCCAGGACTCCCTGATTGGACCAGATGAACAGCCCCAATTGGGGAACTCATATTCTATGAGATCCACCTGACTGATCTTGTTCCAATCCCTATAGGCCCCATGTTTGCTATTGGGAGTGTGGGGGCTATCTGTGGAGCACTGGCCAATCCTGATCACTTAGCCAACAGAAAGAATCTGATTAGTCTCAAATTGGATTGTGGGATCTTACTGTGCTCCCGCTGGTACCATTTCCATCATTACCATGGTGACTACAATTCAAGTGGTATTTTGGTGCTTGAATGGCACTGAGGCCCTGAGCAATGTGATGTGAATGTTGCTCTCTCTTTCTCCGTGTTACCTGCATCCTGTTCATTGCTTCCCGGATCTGGTCCAGGTGGTGAGCAGAGCTAAGTGCTTCCAAGCGGATATCAGTCAGTTTGAGTTCCTTCTCCCGCAGCTCACTCTTCAGGTGCACAATGGCCTCCGCTTCTGTCTCAGTGCACTCACAGATGCTAAAGCGGTAAAGAAAAGGAATTTGTCAGCTTCATGGTAACACGTTAGAGGGATAAGCAGGAATAAGGCAGGGCCTTACAAACACCAATGATCCACATTCATTGAAACAAACTGTGCCAAAGCAGACAGCAAAGGTCAAGGCTTTCAGAGAAATAGAACTCCACATGAGATCAGACATGGACATTGTTACAGCAACAAAAAACAGCAGATGCAAACAGCACTGGAAAGATTTCCACATTGGAGCAGTGAAACCACATGTTGGAGGCTGGTGCAAACTGATGATAAACTTATGGGACGCATAATTCATCTGCTCTGTCTGTGTGCTAATTCGATGAAGCAGATTTAATTGTTAGGTACGTGGGCATTGCTGGCTGGGCCAGCATTTATTGCCCGTCCCTAGTTGCCCCTTGAGAAGGTGGTGGTGAGCTGCCTTCTCAAACCGCTGCAGTCCATGTGCTGTAGGTAGACCCACAATGCCCTTAAAGAGGGAATTCCGGGATTTGGACCCAGTGACACTTGCAGGGGAACATGCAGGGGGTGGAGTTGCCAAGTGTCTGCCACTCTTATCCTTTTGAATGGAAGTGACTTAAACAGTTAATGATAAGGTCCTGGGAAGTGTTGCTGAACAAAGAGACTTTGGAATGCAGGATCATAGTTCTGTGAAAGTAGAGTCACAGGTAGACAGGGTAGTGAATAAGGCATTTGGCACTCTTGTTTTCATTGGTTAATTCACTGAGTATGGGAGTTGGGTGGTCATGTTGTGGCTGTCCAGGACATTGGTTAGGCCACTTTTGGAATACTGCATTCAATTCTGGTCTCCCTAATAGAGGAAGGATGTTGTGAAACTTGAAAGGGTTCAGAAAAGATTTACAAGGATGTTGCTAGGGTTGGAGGGGTTGGGCTATAGGGAAAGATGGAACAGGCTGGGGCCTTTTTCCCTGGAGCATTGGAGGCTGAGCTGTGACATTATAGAGGTTTATAAAATATTGAGGGGCATGGATAGGGTGAATAGCCTTTTTCTCAGTGTAGGGGAGTCCAAAACTGGAGGGCATAAGTTTAAGGTTTTTTTTGCCTTTAGTCATTCACGGGATGAGGGCATCACTGGCTGGGCAGCATTTATTGCCTATCCCTGATTGAGTCAACCACATTACTGCAGGTCTGGAGTCACATGTTGTCCAGACCAGGTAAGAATGGCAGTTTCTCCCCCTAAAGGACATTAGTGACCCAGATGGATTTTTCCTGACAATTGATTTGTGGTCATCATTAGATTTGTAATTCCAGATAATTATTGAATTCAAATTCTACCATAGTGGGATTTGAGCCCGGGTCCCCAGAACGTTACCTGGGTCTCTGGATTAATAGTCCAACAATAATATCACTAGGCCATCACCTCCCCATAGGGTGAGGGGGGAAAGATTTAAAAAGCACCTGAGGGGAAACATTTTCACTCTGAGGGTGGTGCGTGTATGTAACAAAGTGCCAGAAGAACTGGTGGAGGTGAGTACAATTACAACATTTAATGGTTATATATCAAAAGGAATGGTTTAGAGAGATATGGGCCAACTACTCGCAAATTGGACTTGATCACTTTAGGAAACCTGATCAGCATGGACGAAATGGGCCAAAGGGCTTGTTTCTGTGCTATATAACTCTATGACTATATGACTATGACTCTATGGTCGTGGGTTTGGAAGGTGCTGACTAAGAATCTTTGGTGAATTTCTGCAGTGCATCTTGTAGATAGTACACATTGCTGCTACTGAGCGTCGGTGGTGGAGGGAGTGGATTTACTGCTTATCAAGTGGGTTGCTTTGTCCTGGACAGTGTCGATCTTCTCGAATTTTGTTGGAACTGCTCTGGCCTCTTTTAATGATTAAGGTCAGCCCATTCCTTCTAAGACCTTGATCAGGGCGCCATGCTGATTCAAGCCAAGATGTGGTCCACTTCATGCCTTTGCCATTCCCACCCCAATCCACTCCCTGTGCCACTAATTGGACAGCAAGCTCTCCTCTGGGCCACCAAAACCCTGCCCCTGTGCAAATTATGCTTCATGGCACATTGACATTGAGACTCATTCATCACCCGCGATCAAACCCCCATCCCCACTGGGAAGGACCCACCCTTATCCCAGATTCCTGTTAAACCAATGGTGCTAATTCTCCAGCATTGTGTCAGAGCATCCAGGTCAACCACTGAGACTCGGGAGCAAGCAACACCAAGAAAAAAGACAGCACGTGGCATTGTATTTCAGAAAATCAAAATTTGATTCATTTAGCAACATGAATATTAGATGTGAGAAACACACACACACACAGGTATACACAGACACACACACACAGGTACACACGTATACACACACACACACACACACACACACACACACGTATACACACACACACACACACACACAGGTACACACACACACACACAGGTACACACACACACACAGACACACACACACACACACAGACACACACACACACACACTCACACACACACCAGTGACATGAGTGGTATTAGAAATAACTGATATGGTCAAGTCATTGTCGAGTGGGCTAACATTCTAGTTTAGTATGAAAAGCAGTGTTACACAACAAACCCAATGCTCTCAGATTAGATAGCTAAAATAGTTTATAGTAATTAAATTTATTCCAATAAGCACATATAGCGTATCACAGCAACTTTCTAAATCATTACTAATGTGATTCTAACTTGCAAATCAATTTGAAAAAAAAGCTTCTCTAAATAAAGACAGCCTGTTAAATGGTGCCTCCTCATGTATCTATATTCATTCTGTCATCTTGAGTTAAGAGTCACATAGCTATAGAGTCATACAGCATGGAAACAGACTCTTCGGTCCAACTCAACCGTGCCAACCAGATATCCTAAATTAATCTAATCCAATTTGCCAGCATTTGGCCCATATCCCTCTAAACCCTTCCTATTCATATACCCATCCAGATGTCTTTTAAATGTTGTAATTGTACCTGCCTCCAGCACCTCCTCTGGCAGTTCATTCCATACACACATCATTCTCTGCGTGAAAAAGCTTCCCTTTGGGTCCCTTTCAAATCTTCCCCCTTTCACTTTAAACCTATGCCCTCTAGCTTGGTCTCCCCACCCCTGGAGAAAAGACCTTGGCTATCCACCATATCCATGCTCATCATGATTTTACAAAACTCTATAAGATCACCCCTCCACCTCTAATGCTCCAGGGAAAACAGCCCCAGCCTATTCAACCTTTCCCAATAGCTCAAACCTTCCAATCTCGGCAACATCCTTGTAAATCTTTTCTGCATCCTCTCAAGTTTAACGAAATCCTTCCTCTAGCAAGGAGACCAGAACTGTACGCAGTATTTCAAAAGTGGAATCTGCTTTGGCCCCAGTCAAGATCTCCATTGCCTCCAAACCTTCATCCTGTTTCACTGAAGCGATGGCGGCTCTAATCACTTGATCCGGTGATTGTTGGAAAGGGATCTTCTAATGTAAGGCATTAAATTTGTAACAGTAAATGCTGGAGAAACTCAGAAGGTCTGACAACATCAGTGAACAGAGAGAGAGACAGAGAAACAAAGTCAACATTTCAGGTCCAATTCTTCTTCAGAACTGTTCAGAAGTTATACCAGACTCGAAACGTTAACTCTGTTTCTATCTCCGCAGATGTTGCCAGACCTGCTGAGTTTCTCCAGTGTTCTCTGTATTTGTTTTAGATCTGCAACGTTTGCAGCACTCTACTTTTATTTGAGTATTAAACACCTTTAAATGGCATTATTGAAAATCTCAGCTAGCTAGAGTGCTAATGCTCCTGATTTGGAATCACGAGGTTATGATTCTAGCTGCAGACTGGGATTTGATGGAATCAGCTTGGCTCACCCTATGGCAGTGGCTGAAGAAGCTGTTTTTCCATTGAATTGTCCCACACTGCTCTCTCAGTGAATGGAAACGATTCTGGGGCCTTTTTCGAACAAGAGCAGGAAAGGTCTTCCTGGTGTTGTGGCCAACACTTCACTTTCACTAGAAATCAGATGATCTGGTCATTTTCACCTTGCCCTTTGTGGGAGCTTGTTGTGTGAAAGTTGTCTGCTGCTTTTCCTCCAGTACAACAGGAACTGAACTTTCAAGAAGTATATAAGAAGTATATAGTGACCACACCTTTCTGCTTTTCTCTATTTTTGACAGTGATTGAAATGGGAAAAGAATAGTTTTTGACCATGGGCCATTCAAGGAAACATTGCACTTTTAAAACAAATCACTAGAACTCATTCAGAGATAGTAAGAATTGCCAATGCTGGAGTCTGAGATAACACAGTGCGGAGCTGGAGGAACACAGCAGGCTAGGCAGCATCAGAAGAGCAGGAAATTTGATGTTTCGGGTCAGCTTTCCTGCTCCTCTGATGCTGCCTGGCCTGCTGTGTTCCTCTAGCTCCACACTGTCTTATCACTAGAACTCATTGTGAGTTTTGCTTACACTGTTGCTTTCCTTCTCTTGGGGAGGCATGGGCATCTGTAGGGAAAGATGGTTGAGACTCAAAGCACCATGGTACATACGTACAGGGCACATCTTAATCAGAGACCAACTGAACTAAATGTGTGGGCCCAGGAATTCTCAGCATAGCAACAATACTCTGATCAGAGGGAAGGCGATGGCCTACAGGTATTATCACTGGCCTGTTAATCCAGAGACCCGGATAACGTTCTGGGAACATTCCAGGTTCAAATTCCATGGCAGAAAGCCTGCAGATTCTAACAGACAGCACCGCTCTCTCCCTCTGTGTAGCGAAGTAACTAACAACTGAAAGTTAGCTAACCATTGTCTCCCAACATTTGCTGTAAGCTCTTGCCTCTAACTAGTGACATGCCCCACTGCCTTATATCTTCAATAAAAAATGAAAAGACCTGCAGACAAGGAGATCAGAGATCAAATATACCTCATTCCATCCTGTGGACTGGTGCTATTAAACTGTGCTCCCCTAATTGTCTTTTTCTCCACTCATCTACGTTTGTTTGTCTAAGCGTGTGGGAGTTTAAGACAAAGTTTAAGATGGTAGAGTTAACCCTAACTCTAAACCAATTCATACTTTGTTTTCCTGTTGGAACAAATTTATAATACATACCAGCTTCTTTTTATGTACAGAAACAAATTTTAACCTGAGATCAGCAGACAAGAAAAACAGGGACTTTGAGTATTTGGATTAAATGTTTAACTTTTGTGACCTCAGGAGTAGTGGGGCAGAGTATGAGAGTATTTTCTTAATTAGGTCATGACAGGCACAATGTAAATGCAAGTTTTTTCTTTCACTTCAAATATATAATTATCATAAAACCATCTCAAGGATGCACTCCCATTCATTCCTCAATTAAAACTAAACCTGCAGTACCCCGTCCTTTGCTGTCTTGGGAGATCATGCTGTGTCTGCTCAGCTGGCGAATCTTCCATAAACATGCTCAGCTAACCAAACCTCACACTTTAATGATGGAACAAGGCTGATTCCAAAGGTTAACCAGCGAGAACTCCCCAACTAGTTGGAGACTCAACAGGCACCAACCCAGTGCATCTGCTCGCAGGCTCCACCACATGCAGCACACTAACCGGGACCCGTGCTGATAGATCACTGGGCCATTTAGCTGTTTTCTTGTCACCCACAGAGACACTGGCTTGCTGCTATCACTGCTTGTTTGAAACCTACTGCACAGACAGAGAGAGAGAAACAAAGACAGAAATGGCTTGATTAAGAAAGCAGAGCTAATAAAAGGCATGTAATGAAATGGAGTAAGCATTTACAGGGGTAAGTGTATTTGTGTGTGTGTGTGTGTGTGTGTGTGTGTATGTATGCATGTGTGTGTGTGTACATGCATGTGTGTGTATGTACATGTGTGCAGGTATGTATGTACGTGTGTGTGTATGTACGTGTGTGTGTATGTATGTGTGTGTGCGTATGTACGTGTGTGTATGTACGTGTGTGTGTGTATGTACATGTGTGTGTACGTTCATGTGTGTGTGTATGTACGTGTGTGTATGTACGTGTGTGTGTATGTACGTGTGTGTTTGTGTGTGTGCACGTGTGTGTGTGTGTACGCGTGTGCGTGTGTCTATGTACGTATGTGTGTGTTTATGTGTGTGCGTGTGTCTTTGTACGTGTGTGTGTATGTACGTGTGTGTGTGTATGTATATACGTGTGTGTGTGTGTGTGTGTGTGAGAGAGAGAGAGAGTGTGCATGTGTGTGATGTCTAATTTGGAATTCAATCTTTTCACTCACATTTTGCTATCCACAGAGATTCAGTGCTTTATGATGTTAAGGAGTAAATTATCTGAATTCTGAAGAGGAGTCATACTGGACTCAAAACAATAACTCACTTTCTCTCTCCACAGATACTGCCAGACCTGCTAAATTTCTCCAGCAATTTTTGTTTTTGTTTCAGATTTCCAGCATCTGCAATATTTTGTTGCTAATAATTCCAAACTCTTTCTTTCTTTCCAACCAAAGTGGTGATTCTGGGGGCTTTATTTGCACAAAATGCTCAGATAATTTGCACACGAGATCACGCAAACAGCAATGGGCTAAATGACCAGCTGGTCATTTCGTCCAAGGGGAAATTCTGTGCAGGACACTGACCGGGACTGACAGAACAACTGTCTCATCCAGCCTGGCTCATCTTCCACTTGTCCTGTTAGCTTTGTTTGTATTCACCTGACAGAGGAGATGTCACGGGCACAGCACTCTGAAATCTTAAATAGTTTTTCACCTCATTCTCCAATAAATATCTTGTATCCATCTTTGCTGTGGGATTTCGGTGACGTGCCAACCCGAAGGACCAACTTTAACACTGATTAATTTCTGCTTTTGAACCAGTTAGATCAGGGGCCTCACCGCCGGGACCCAGATCATCTCCTCCCAATTAAAATCTACCATCTCACACAATGCAACAACAATTGGTCTGCACTTGGATGGTGGAGCTCTCACTGAGACCCCTGGGTCCAATGGCCCATCCTGGAGGTTTCAGTGAAGATTCTAGACTGACCATCCCAGGGTATTGTTACAGGAGTGCAGCACAGTCTCCCCACCTTGCACAATGGGTGAAACATTAAACCTGCCCCTTCAGGTGGTGGAAAAGATTTGATAAACACTGTTTAAAGAAATGTATCAGAGATAGTAGGAACTGCAGATGCTGGTGAATCCGAGACAACAAGGTGCAGGGCTGGATGAACACAGCAGGTCAAGCAGCCTCATAGGAGCAGAGAGGCTGACGTTTCGGGCCTAGACCCTTCATCAGATGATGAAGG